GACAACTCATCATGGTAAGGTATTTCTGCAAGAGTTCCAAATTGATCTAAAGAAGTGTCCGGCCCGGCACGAAACAATAGATGTAAGCGAGGGTGACTCTTCGATATATTTTCTGGTTGTGGTTCTGCTGTCATCACAGAAAGCCGTTTTGATATCGGCAGCGACTTCAGATAATGACATGCTTTTGCTGCAAATGCGTCTGTGTCCCTTAATTCAGATTCTAGGACCTGCATGCGGTCTATCACTTTCTGGTCTGATTTTGATTTCGTCTCATGCATAAGATGTTTCCATTTAGCCAACTGCCCTTTGTAATATTCAAAAGTCGTTTCTATCTTCCTATCTATTGATTCCATATTTTCGACATGGTCCTGTTTTTGTTGTTTGATTTTATTTTTCAAATTTTCTTCATGTTTCTTCGTAATTTTCTTAAGATAAATCATTTCGTTAGCCTCTAGGCACATCTTTAGGTCTGCAAAGGTATGCTGCTGATGACTTTCAAGATGACATTTGTAACATACAGGAAGTGCGCCACATGTCGTACAGAGGTATAACAGCTCTTCCTTTGAGTGTAATGGGCATCGATCTTCGCTTCTGTAAATGACAACAAACATATATGAAATGATGATTAAGAGTCACTTAACGCCAAGCATGAAACAGTAAATTCATGCAAATGTCGAAGTCAAAAGTATCAGAAATAGTCATTAAATATTTGTATTGCAAGACTGTTTTATCACGTTTATTCGCAAGGAAGGTTATATCAATTATCTTATATTTTTTTCAGCTAAACATCTAAGCGCTACCTTAGATCCATTGCTCCATGTTGGTCAATCATATCCTTAGACGGGTTGCGCTCGTTCAAATGAGATAGAAATGTGTTATTCACTCGAGTAGGATTTCCAATGTTCATATGATCAGTGGGTGCTAGCACTGTAGTCCTTGAATCAGCTTTGTCATTGGGAACTATTGTCGCATCTCTTGTACAAACAGAATTGAGAAAATGTGTTGTAGGACTTTCTACAGATGCATCAAAGTTGGACGAAAGGGACTCTATGGGTTCTGAACCTCTGAAACAAAATACATTTTGTATCATACAGGCCGTAACTAACCCATGCTTAGAATACAAGTATACCTACTCATTGTACGTTACAAATAAACAGAAAACATTAGTAGTCTCTGGTCCACTGAAAACTTGAGTCCCCTAGATGTATCTATTATCATTTTTCCTTTTTTTTTAATACTATCCGCCGGTATCTTTCTAGGATCCTCTGGTAAGCCCAATGTCAGAACGAGACGTCCAACGGGCCTTAACCGCTCACTTGTATCTTTCAAGAGTCATGATCAAGTACCGACATTCATAGAAACATTGCAATAAAAGTAAGCATTTTGCTTCACCGTATAGCGATTTCGACCTGTGCTCATGCTGGAGGTAACAGAAAACAGAAAACATTAGTAGTCTCTGATCCACTGAAAACTTGAGTCTCCTACATGTATCTATTATCATTTTTCCTTTTTTTTTTTTAATACTATCCGCCGGTATCTTTCTAGGATCCTCTGGTAAGCCCAATGTCAGAACGAGACGTCCAACGGGCCTTAACCGCTCACTTGTATCTTTCAAGAGTCATGATCAAGTACCGACATTCATAGAAACATTGCAATAAAAGTAAGCATTTTGCTTCACCGTATAGCGATTTCGACCTGTGCTCATGCTGGAGGTAACA